ACACAACTAAACCCTCAAATATGCTATTTGTTTTTAACTCGTTAATAAAATATTGTCACCGCAACAAAAAAACCTAATTCGGAAATAGTCACATGACTAATGACGTCATTACTTTAGTGTGACATGGGAAGATATTTTATGGCAAATGTTATCTTGTTGTGGTCTGACAGTATTCTAGGTATAAAATTGTCAAAGTTATAAAGTTTTTTAAAAAATTCCCTCAAAGGATTCTGAGAGATATTTTTTATGATAATATTATAATTTACTTTTATAATTATTATCGTTATCATTATCATTATCATTATTGATTGGCATTAATCCCTCGACTAATTCTTCACAATCAACTGGCGTAGTGGCGCTTATAAACCATATTTGGAAAATGTGAGCCCCCGGATGCCACGGTATAATCCCCAATATATAATCGCAGCCTCGTCTACAGGCACCGATGCGGAAGCCGGCCTAGAGTTCCTGAAAATAATTAATATAATAAATACTAAATAAAAATAATTAATGATAGTAATAACTGGCTTTTTGCGGTCTACACAAAACCTTCTTTGTACTTCCGTTCTCCTGGAAGCAAAGCGATCTATTCCAAGTGACTCCTTTACCATAGCGATAAGTGCATCGCGGTTGGAATGAACTTCGTAGATAGAAATTAGAAATGCAAATAATTCTGAAACTCCTCAAACATCATTTTACTTTTACCATAAAACTGCTTAGAAGAGCTGCACCTTCTTGTCCAATTGTATTCTGTGTTCTTAAAAAGGTAGGATTGAAAAGTGTGTACTTTAAGAAGTTTAAATTGGTTGAAATTGGTTTCTCTTCCCTGATGATAGCATTAAGACGTAAAAGTTAAAGCCTTATATATATAATGGTGCGTGGAAAACTGTAACGCCACAGAAATTCTACCCTTCAGCTGTTTTATTTATTTAAAACATGCATTTTAACCATCATCGACATCATCGAAGACGAGAACTGCAGAATAGCCAACATTTGATTGCTATCATAAAAATCAACAGTCGAGAATCATTAAAACTACCGCATATAACATAGCAAAAAAGTTCCAAGGGAAAGTACTGTTCGCGGAGGATTTCGTTTGACCATAAATAGCCGCACTTTTTGACGATTCAGATCCAGTGCGACACTCAAGAATTCGCTATACCGTAGCATAACAAAACGGTTCATCGGTTCGATGATTACGAATGCCTCCCTCACAGTCGATCAGGAGGTAAAACCACCTTGTACATGAAATAAGAGATTGGAGCCAGAATTTACTTTACTTTACTTTTTATGTATACCATATTTTTGGTCTTCCAGTCACTGAAAATTAACTAAGGCAGTAAATGAGACAAAAACCAGCTTAGTAGTCAGCCAAATTTTGTTTTAAGCTAGAGTCTTGATCATATGTACAGCAAATTAAATAGTGCACGCCGTACCACTAATAAGTAGATTTTATCTGAATGGTTGCATTTTGAAGTTTTTATCCACAGTAAGATATAAATGGTTATATCAGAAGTGGGGTAACAAACGATATAAAGCATTAAATGCAGATAAAAATAAGTAATTAGTACAATACCTTGCAACTGAATACGACAATATTGAATTTTATTTTCTTTTCTGTTTCACTATTTTACCGTTTCTTTATTCATTATATTTGCTGTATTTAAACTAAATAGTGTTTCCCTCCCTTTAAGTGCTTAACTATTCTCTATACATCCAGGTCAAAAATTAGAGAAAATTTTCAGTATTTCTTTTATTAGAGTTCTTCTCAATTCCATATACTTAGCGTTTCTTCAGTGTAATTATAAGGACACCATGAGATCACTTTAATAAGCGATTTACGAGATCCTCGATAAGCAGCTCTTTTCCAAGACTTAAAAATAAGAACAAAAACTGAGGTTTATCGGTTATAAACGCGGGAGAAACATCGCCATTTCTATAGCCATGATATTTGATTATTCAGTCATAGTTGTAAGATTGCATTTCACAACAACAGTTATATGGGGGTAAAAGGCAAGTATCACAGATCAATCGCTGTTAGTAAGTCCCGCACGGAATGCTTTTTGCTTCGTATATATGCCGACACATTTTCGATTTCATCATAGAGTGCAAACTCACTGCCAGGAAAACTCTCTCAGTAGAGGGGCACCCTGATGGAATTCCTGACTGTATATGTTTAATCATTTACGGCAAACGTTTGCAATATCTGCCGGTAATGAAAAGAAAGGTTTGTTTTGTTTTTCTTTTCAATATATTGATTTATGATCAAGATGTAATTACTCCACTCTGTCACTGATTCATCTCGAGAAACTGTCTTGAATTTTAAACAATTTTTGTTCACGGCAAGTAACCGAAATACACAATAATTGCAGTGCTTTTCAAATTTTGTTGCAAATTTTCCACATCTTCCGGCGCTTTCGTTGACGAACTTGATGGAAACTTCTGAACTGAATAGCTGCAGTACAATTAAAACATTCGTTTACATTCTTAGCAAAAGAGA